ATGGCATTTGCTGAGACCAAAAGGATTGACTTTGCAAGGTGCTCTAGGTGCTGGTGAACAATGAAGCGGGGGATCATTTAAATGATCCTAGCTTTGCCATCTAGGGAACCAGATGCCTATCTGCCAATCTTTACAGACCAGGATAATACACTTCAATAGCCCTTGTGAACAATTGGTTTATGGCAGGGGTGGGGAATCTCGGGCCTGGGAGCCAAAAATGGCCCTCTGGGCCTGTCTATCTGGCCCTCAAGACTCTCCCCCCAGGCCACACTACCTTCTCACTCTTAACCCTGACCAATCCTACTTTGTGCGCTCCCTGAGTGCTCTTGCTTGGAATGTGCCCTTTTACTATCATAATGTCCCTTGATTACCTGGATGAAGATAGAGAGGCCTACTGTACAATGCTGCCAACAAAGGTCCGTATAGTTAAAGCTATGATTTTCCCAGTAGTGATGTATGGAAGTGAGAGCTGGACCATAAAGAAGGCTGATTGCCAAAGAATTGATGCTTTTGAATTATGATGCTAGAGGAGACTCTTGAGAGTCCCATGGACTGCAAGAAGATCAAACCTATCCATTCTGAAGGAAATCAGCCCTGAGTGTTCACTGGAAGGACAGATCCTGAAGCTGAGGCTCCAATACTTTGGCCACCTCATGAGAAGAGAAGACTCCCTGGAAAAGACCCTGATGTTGGGAAAAATGAAGGGCACAAGGAGAAGGGGACAGCAGAGGGTGAGATGGTTGGACAGTGTTCTTGAAGCTACCAGGATGAGTTTGACCAAACTGCGGGAGGCAGTGGAAGACAGGAGTGCCTGGCGTGCTCTGGTCCATGGGGTCACAAAGCGTCAGACACGTCTAAACAACTAAACAACTGTACAATGCTAAACTGCATGCTCACTTTTGCCTGTGGTCCCCAGAAGGCTGCAGAGATGGGAATGTGGTCCTCAAGCTGAAAGAAACCCCCCACTCCTTGTTTATGGCATAGGATGCAGCCTTGTATCAGGTTGGACAATTTGTCCATTTCCTCCAGCCATTGTCAACTCTGATTCTTTTCCATCACTGATCCTTCTTAAGCTGGAGATTCTAGGGATTGAACCTGGGACCTTCTCATGGAAGGATGTCACTGATTTATGCCCCCCCCCAAGCAAGAACCTTGTAACGAGGACAGCATTGCCACAGACATAACACTTTGGGTAGTGGAGGAGAGAAAGAACAATGACTGCTAGCACTTTCTGCAGCTCAGTGTTACGACCCGGCAGCTTCACAAAAAGCATCAAGAAATGTGTTGCCATTAACCCTGTTTTCCTGCCAATGAACTAAACTGGCAATTCGGCAGACCTACCCAACCTAGCCTACTGGTCAATACTTTTCTTGTAGCAATAAATATGATTACCAGATTCAATTCAGGCCCAGAAACCTAACTGGTAACAGCCAAAGAGAAGGCAAATTTCAAAAGATACAGCTCCCCTGCCCCCATTAAATCACTATCAGGAAACATGGTAGCTGCAATAAATAAATGATTAAAAAAAATCCTTCCGCCTCTACAATCAATAAAAACACAGGAGATCGGTCTCACATTACTGAATATGGATTTGGAGACAGTATCGCCCAGGGGCTAGGTTGGTTGATGATCTCACAGATAAATATTAGCTGCAAATTGAAAATATAGGGTATAGTGTGGGTAGGTTGTGCTTATTCTGGAGGGGTTTTTTGGTGAAAAAGAACCGTGTTTTACAATGGTTACATGTTCAATGCAAAAACTCACCTGTTCCAGCTTACCTTTACCAGTTGAAGATTTGCAGGGCCAAATTTCCTTGATAGTCTGTTTCTTTATAGAGATGCTGCTACTGTATTCCCTAAAAACATTCAGAAAATGAGTGCTAATCAGTGACCTGACTGGATGCCAGAGGAAAACATTACAGCCACTTCTGGCATGTTTTGGATGTGGTGCTCTGTATTGGTAAGTATCAAAGCAAAAGGTTTAAGTGTGGACGTCTTTTTGGTTTATATTTCTCCTTAGCCATGAATTAATAAAATAGTATTAAACAAGGAAGCCCTTGTGTCTGAGCTTCATCTACAACAGGGCTGGCAGAAAGTATCTCAGGTTTTGCCAATTTCTGGAGGGCCATCTACCTCCTGTTGCTTTGTGGGGATTCTTCCAAAGAATACTAGATAGGGTGGGCCTTGATTGAATCCAGCAGGCCATTACTTAATATTGTTAGGCATCACTAACACAGATTAAGTTATTGCCTTAACTGTTAAAGAAATCCCACATAAACACTGGTGCTTTGTAGAGCTAAATTGTGTAATGTACCACGAGGGTTCTGTTTAGAGTGGGGGAGAGTAGATCACAAAAGACTGAAGCCATATTGGTCGATACTGCAGGGATTATAGTATCTTCTAGGGCTATTGTAAGGAATGCTTACATAATGTATGCAAATCACTACGTATTTAAATGCCACATATCTACAGATACAGATCTATCCCTCCTTGTTTTCAGAGATTTCTGTTCAGGTGCTAAACTTTGAAAAGTTTCTCAGATCTACTTGGCTACAGATGGTAGTTTTACTAAACATCTGTACGACCATCTCACACAGAATCAGGCACCATCTCACCTAGAATGAGACATGCTTTAAGGCCATTGAAGCCTACAAGTTTAAGAATGCCTGGCTCTCAGTGATTTTCTGTGTAGCTAGAATTCACAGTGTTGTGACAAAAAGCTCCCTTGAATGTAGGGAGATGGGGCAAACATTAAAACAACTGGTAAAACCCTCCTGAGCACTTGTTTGGATGGCATGGCTAGCTAAGCAACCCCAAAGTGAGAAAACTCAACCAAACTAGTTGACCTATCTGTATAAACTCAGAGAGCTGAAACTGAGTGATTGTGTGCAGATCACACAAGTAAACACTGGGCAAATGTTAATCTGTATTCCTTCTAAATTGCACTCAGGAAAGCTTTAATATGTTTTTCATTCTCTCCCTTGAAACTGCTGTTCTCCTGAACACCAAACCTTGTTGGCAGAGAATTAAACAAAATGCAAATTTAAGAATTTTCCATCTCTATATTATGTTGCTTATGGGGTGCGTCAAAACCCAGAAAAGGAAACTGTGAAAACAGTGCCCTAGATTTCACTGTAGAAATACAGTGGTACCTCGGGTTAAGTACTTAATTCGTTCTGGAGGTCTGTTCTTAATCTGAAACTGTTGTTAACCTGAAGCACCACTTTAGCTAATGGGGCTTCCCGCTGCTGCTGTGCCGCCACAGCGCGATTTCTGTTCTCATCCCGAAGCAAAGTTCTTAACCCGAGGTACTATTTCTGGGTTAGCGGAGTCTGTAACCTGAAGCGTCTGTAACCCAAGGTACCACTGTAATGTTGAAAACAAACATATGCACATAGCTGCATATCACAACACACAAACTATGGCCTGCCCTTTTCACTACTACCTAGGAAAGTCAACATGGTGTAAAGCAGGACTGGCAGTGTTCTAGGTTCAAAACCCCAACCAGTCATGAATCTTAAATTGCGATCTTAGGACAGCAACAAACTCTCAAAATAACCCATATTGGGGGCTGTTTGTGAGAATTTTGTTCATTTACTTATTTATAGAGGTCTATGCCACCTCTCCTCCAAGGAGCTCACTGTGGACTGCATGACATCCCCCTTCTCACTTCCCCCTTCACAACAACCCTGCAAAGTAATTTACGCTAAAAGTTGGTGACTGCTCCCAGATCAGTGAGCTTTATGGCCAAGTTGGGCTTTGAACCCTGGTCTTCCAGGTCCTAGGAGCCCCACGTTTTAACCCCAGGGTCCACCAACATAGTACACTCTACATGTTGATGGGATTTAACTCAAATTATCCCTGACCACTGGCCATGTTGGCTAGATCTGATGGGAGTTTGGAGTCCAACAGCTACCACTATTCCACTACACCAAGAAGGGAGAAGAGCCATGGAGTGCCTTGAAGAGGCAAAACTATTATTTTGGAGAGGGGAGAGGGAGGGAGATGGGCAGTAATAAATTATAACCAACAGTACAGAAACCTCAAAACCTGGCTGGTGCAATTGCTGGGGTTTGCAAGGCTTGAGAGGTCTAGGAGCTCAGGGTCTGCTCCTGGATCTCTCAGCAATCTGCAATGGACCAGCCAGGATGTCTGATTCCCAACTGCTCAACAATGACAGCAACAAAGCAGCTCTTCTGACCCTCTCTACATTATGAAGCAGCTTGGGGAGAACCAGGAAGTGATGTTTTCCTAAAAGGCCTGTGGACTCCAGGCCTTGCACACAAAACAACTGCCTGGATTGTTTCATTGGAAGGGCCTTTTGGATTTTGGGGGTCCAGCAAATTATGTAGCTTGCCTGGCCCTGCTATACTGAATGGAAAAAGCTTAACTCTGATCCAACAGCAACAACCGACGAGGCTTCTTTCCCCCATTAAAGCTCACCTTTGCCTTCTCTGACATCCATTTTACGACCCTGGCAGCTCTTTAAGGAAATACACTCTGAAACGGGTCCTCATTCCAGTCTGAAGACGACGGTAAATGATATCCAGGCCCGTTTTTCTCCGAAATGTGTATTTGGGAAAAAAAAGAAAAGAAGAAATGGCCGTTGCTCCGAGCGCGGGGTATTGAAATTCCCCGGTTGCCTTTTGAAGCCTCCTTCAATCGAGTCGGGCAGTAAGCGAACATTTGCATAGACGGATAAAGGATGTGACAAGTCCTGTAAATCGCTTACAATCCAATGAAATGATCTCTCGGCAGACACGGTGGAGCCAGCCCTACCAGGGCTTTGGAAAATGTGCGAACAACCTCTTTTGTCGGGGAGGCATGATGATAATGAGCCGGTACTTATCTGGCCTTTGATGTTGTGTTTGCCCCTGTCGCTGTTTGCTTGGGGGCGCCCCATATAAGGGAAGATGCGCGTCACGGCCTGCGCGTCCAAAGGCTTCAGCTCATCCAGCGCACAGGACCCGGGCTCGTCTAACCCCCGACGGCAAGCGCGCCATGACCAAGGCTCCCTTCTCGGTGGAGTGGCTCTCCCAGAGCAGCCAAGCCACCAACCACGCCCGGAGCAGGGAAGGAGTCAGCCCAGCCGCGTCTTCGGCCTTCCCCGACGGCATCCCGACCCAGCAGAGAGAGCCTCCGCCTAACTGCCGGCCTGCCGGGAGAGAACGAAGGCCGGTCGGGGAAAAAGTCGTTCCCAGGGGCCACGAACCGCCTTCTGAACACCTCCCTTCGCTCCAGAAGAAAGTGGATTCCTCCTCGACGTCAGCAGGTACTACTTCTCTAGCAGTCTCCGATTCATGGAGGAGAGGCTATCAATTTGCCTTCACTATACTCTACTTCCAATTTGTGTCCTGATTGATACCAGCTGCTGGGAAACGGAGGTGGGGAGAACGCTATTGAGCTTCCCATGGTCATCTGGTTGGCTACTGTTAAGACCAGGACGCCGGACTTGCTGGGCCGCTGGCCTGATCCAGCACGGCTCTTACTGTCTTTATAAGTCTTTTCCATTGATCTCCGGGTTTCTAAACTCGCAATTCCTCGGAAGCAAGTGCCCCTGCTGTTGCTTTTTTTCGACGGAATAATGCAACTTTGGGGAAGGGCGAATCCTAATACTCTCTAGAGTCTAGCCGGACCTTCCAACGTGGGGAATATTGCCCGTCGGGGCGCGAAGGGGTTTTCTGGGGACGCTGGTTCGAAAGCCTAGGAGGTTGGAAAGGCGGCTTCAACATTAATAATGGGGAGGCGAGACACTGGCTCGGTTTTCCTAACAATCGAGCACGGAATAGAGTATAGGCCACTTACTATTTTCCGATTTCCCGGTCACTGATCAGGTCCTTTGCTTCCTTTCAATTCCTTTGACAAGGCCGAACTGCGAAAACCATTGATCGCAAGCCGCTTTCCCTAAAACCCATCTGAGCCCTTCTTTCCGCCTGGAAATAGTGGCCTGTGTTTCCACCACTATCTGTCAAACTAAAAGCCAACTTTGCGGGGGAAGACCTGGCTGAAATATATCCCGATCCTGTGCGGGAAGTCCTAACCAGCTCTATAAGACTTAATCACCCAGGTGAAACTCTTACATCAAATGGCAAGCTCAGGTGTAGGAATCATAGAATCATTGACTTGGGAAGGTCACTTGGCCCAACGTGGAGGCTCTTGAGATTAAAAGTCTCATGCTCTTATCAACAAACTGCCCAGGGCAGGGTAAGGGAATCGCGACTGTTGGTGTGGCGGTTCAGACCCTTTGCAACTTCCTCCCACCAGTCGGTCACCTCTTTTATTATCTTTTCGGCATCTATTGAAGTCCTTTCTCTTTTAACAAGTCTTTTAAGTGGAGATCTCCCCACCCCCAGTCTTCTCTGCATTGGCCTAGAAGTCGCTTGTGTGTGTTGTTATTGATGTTTTTATTGTGAAATAGTTCGGGGTTTTCAAAGAGAGCGATTGATAGAGCAAAATAAAATAGAGGATAATGGAAGTGTTTTCCCGGTGCTGTGAATGAACGGCGCTAAAACTGCAATGCGATTCATACTTATATTGGGAGTAAGTTCTCTTCAGTGCAATGGGGCTCTTTTTTTATTAGACATGCATGTAGGCTGGACGTATGAGCCGGAAATAGCTGAGCCCAGCTTACTGCCCTAGGATTTTGGGGGGATAAAACATCAGTTTCTCCCAACGTGGGAAAAGTGTTCCTTTATCCTAACCTACCCGCTATTGATTTCCACGGTGGGCGTGTCCCTGACCATCTGGCTTTTGTCTCTTCTTTCTGCCAGAGGCGTCTGAGGCTCCCAAGCGGACGTGGAGTGCAACGGAGGGCAGCTCAGACGGCGAAGGGAGCCTTTCGGAAGGCCAGACCCCAGAAGACGGCAGCGGCAGTAGAAGCACCAACAGCCGCCGCTTGCGCACCGCTTTTAGCGTGGAGCAGATCAGCACCTTGGAGAACTCCTTTAAGCGTCACAGGTACTTGGGCGCCGCAGAGAGACGCAAACTGGCCAGTAAGATGCAACTCTCCGAAGTGCAGGTAAGCGACCAGACTGGCTCAACTCCTGACAAACTCAGAGAGACCCTAAAATGGCTATTATACTGAGTAAAAGACAATAAAATAATCTAGCTACTTTTGGGGAGGCAGGTGGGTATGGGTGTGTGCATGAGAGAATTTCCTTGACGGACTTCTAGTTAACTTTAAACAATTCTTACTGCATTTTATATTCTGCCTTTCCTCAAGCATGAGGTTCAAGGTCTTCACCCACCACCACCAAAAGAATGACAACCTGGAAATGACATGGTGGTTTGGGAAATTTTAAAGAAGCAGAATGATTTCAACATAAAAGTGGTTGAGTGAAGGAGAATGCTCTGTTGACCAATGAAGGGCTCCTCCATTAGTTCATCCACTTCTCTCTCTCTCTCCTGTCCACAGATCAAGACTTGGTTCCAGAACCGACGGATGAAACTGAAGCGTCAGTTGCAGGAGATGAGACCTGAATCTTTCAGCGCAGTGCCATTTTACAGCCCCCTACCTTTTGGACCTCAGAGTGGGCCTGTGTCCTATGTTTACTCTCCACACCAGCATACTTTCGCTGGGAGGGAAGCGGTTCCTTCTGGCATCCCCTTTCCTCCAATGCCAACTCCAACTCTGGATCCCAGAAGCAACTCTGGAGGGCAACCTGGTGCTCTCTGGCCAATGCCCATGCCCTACTTCATAGGATGCCAGGACCCTAGAACTGTCTTCCTGCCCCTCTGAGTCAATCGTCAGGGATGCTGCTGACCCTCAGAAGGATTTGCACTAAAGTCTGCTCTTCCAGAGCTATATTTATAGCTACCGAGATTCCTGGATACATAGGTTTTGAATATATTTTGCACAGAGATATGAGTGGAAAATTGGGGTGAAAATAAATAACTACAATGTGTTTTTTTAAAAAAGCTAATTCATTCAGCAAGACCTTACTGGGTTTTGACATTTAAACGAGGGCTTGACACAGACCAGCTTCAAGCTGCCCCTTAAATTTAGGTCATGTCATTGGGCAGAACAGCAACATCTGGAGAAGCCTGATATAAAATTAGACAAGAGCCCATCTCCTGTGATCGATTTAGCAAGATCAGCTTATGCTTGATTTAGGGCTTGATAGTGTGTTGTTCGGAGAGTTGTGCAATAATAGCATCAGAGAGATGTTAAACACTGTGATTAACTTACTTCTTTGTAAGGGTGACCCTGAGAACATTGATGTGTCATAAAATTCTGGTGTTCATTCACAACCCACTGATAAAGTTGTCTGTGTTTGCAGTGCAATATATTGTACTTTATCAATATATTGCTCTTTATGATAAGATGTAAGCCATAAGCTAATTCAAAATGCTTTCTGCATTAATAGGTATGTTTTTAGCTGGGGTGGGGTGGGGATTGGACTTTTTTTTTTTGCAATATCAAATACAGAAAATAACTGGAACCATTTATTTTGGTAAAGATGTATGCATGTGCAGAATTAATCAGATATATACTATTAGTATATAGAGCCCTTAACAGCCTGGGACCACTTTATTTGTGGAATTGCCTTATCCCATAAATGCCCTTTCGAATATTTTTATTAAATACCTAGAATTTTAATTTTGTTGGGTAAACCACTTAGAGGTTTTATTACAGTCAAGCAGTGCATTTTGTTTTTAAAAAGCAGCTATATAATTTTAACATTTGTGTAGTGCTTTCAGGTATTTACATGCATTACCTAGTTGTTATGCTAACAACAATCCTGTAAACAAGATCCATGGGCAAAATGTGCCTCCAGATGTCTCTGGCGCTTGGGACTTTCCCCCATGCCTCACCCCATCCGTAGTCACGCATCCTCTCCCCAGCCATGTTTGGCACATTCCTTTGCTGTTTTTGCCTGGCTGGAATGTGTCTATGAACTCTGAGCATGTTTTTTGCTTCCCTGGATGGAGGAAAGAGGTCTCTCTGTGTGTATGTGTAGAAACTAGCCTAATGTACAAAGGTAACATTCACTTGTTCCTCTGCCTATGTGTTCCTCTGGCTCTGCTCCCCATGGTCATGGGGCCTCCAGAAAGGCTCAAAAGGAGTCCACAGTCCAGGTTATTGTTCCCCATAAAGCAGATGAAGACTGAGGGAACTTGCCACATGCATTTTTATAAAATCCTTATGATACAGTGGTACCTCGGGTTACAGACGCTTCAGGTTACAGACTCTGCTAACCCAGAAATAGTACCTCGGGTTAAGAACTTTGCTTCAGGATGAGAACAGAAATTGCACGACAGCGGCGCAGCGGCAGTGGGAGGCCCCATTAGCTAAAGTGGTACCTCAGGTTAAGAACAGTTTCAGGTTAAGAACAGACCTCCAGAACAAATTAAGTTCTTAACCAGAGGTACCACTGTACTAGGCATTTATATAGTACTACTTTTATACTCTGGTAACTACAACAGCCCTGCAAGGTAGATCATTAATATTCCCCACATTACAGAATAGGGGTTTATAGTGAGCTTCTTTGTGATTTACAGGGCAGGCCTATTCATGTCTACTCAGAAGCAAATTCCATTGAGTTCAATGGGGTTTATTCTCAGGTTAATAGGACTATAGCTCAGTGGTAGAGCAAATGCTTTGCATGCAGAAAGTCCAGGATTTAGTGCCTTGCAACTTCAGGTAGGACTGGAAAAGTCCTGAAATCCTGGAGACCTGCTGCCAGTCAGTGTAGGAAATGCTGACTTTGATGGACCAATAGTCTGTATAAGAGAGCTTTCTATGTACCTAATGTTAGCACTTTAGACAAAGTGGCCCAATAGAAATCTAATCATTTTGGATAGTCCAGGAGATATCTGAACTGTGATTGTATTTGATTTGATCTGCTCTGATTTAATATTACAGCATTTGTGCAAATGTTGAGAAGTGAATTATTAATCGGTTAATGAGTATTAAGAGGATATTTCATCTTTCTACTTCATTTCAATGTGTATATTTTTATATGCTCCCCACACAATAAAAAAAAAGTTTTGGAAGTTTCATTTGGTTCACTTTGCAAGCCCCCCCCTCTCTTTTTTAAATGGATTCATTTAGGTAGTTGTTGGCAGAATCAAGCTCCAACCATGTGTGTGTGTCTGTTGTTTGTCTGTGTGTCTTTTAGCATGCCTCTTGACATGCACTGGATTCCCAGAGAAATAATTGAACCCAGATCTGAATCAAGTTGAGGTCCATGTCATCATGAAGTAGCAATGCAGAGCTGATACTCCCTCCACTTCCAGCTGCATATGCTTCCATAAAAACACACATTTTCAAACTTCCATATATATCCAGCTAAGTTATACTCAAGAGTAAACCCATTGATGTTAATGGACCTATGTTAGTCATGCCCATTAATTTCAATAGGTCTGCTCCGAGTAGGAGTAGCATTGGATACAGCCCTTTAATTTAATTTACAAGCCTATGGATTTCATCTCAACACATGACATTCCAATGTGTCCGGCTTGAATGACCTATTCATATTTAATGGGTAACTTGAGAATGCAATAGGTGAAGTACCACTTTTTCTACTTTGTTCCTTAAACGGCATACAGACGTGTAATTGCATTTCTATACAGCAGGCTGTTCCTAAGGGCACAGGAACACTGATTAGGTGTCTCTTCTGGCATAGTAAAACTTGAGCCAAGCCTTATGCATCAAAATGGGTAATTTCATTTGCTTCACTGGGATTCTGCAAGATCTGGCTCTTTGCTTTGAATAAAAGGCAAGGTATCTGAGATCAGAGCCCATCCCTAAACCCAAATCCTCATGCTGAAACGACTTCACATATCTTAATTCAGATGTTGATTGTGTGTTTAAGATTGGGACCCTTAAACTCTAATCTCAGCCTTAATCCAGACTAGCTGGGGTTGATGGGAGTTGGAGCCCAATAAGATAGCGAGTCAGCAGGCAAAACTAGAATGAGTTGGCTCTGTCTGGCATTGGCTCCATCCACTGTTGACCTCTCCACTTTCCACCAGCTCCAATGAGCACTTATCTGCCACTGCCTGTCTGCTACTTTAAGCAGCAGGCTGCAGCCCTTCCCTTGCAAAGAACCACTTGTGAGTGTCTAGTGATATTCTAGTCCTTACCCAGCACTGGACTGGATGCACTTGAGAGGCACAGGTTTCCCCCCCAAAATCTAGAGCAGCTTACCGTGAAGGCCCCTTATATGTCCTTTTGTACAGCCCCTACATTCTTGCCACTCTGAGCTCTTAAGGTCGGGTTGCCCTATTTCAAAAAGTAAAAACCAGGACACCACGAAAATAAAAATGAGGAATGCCCCCCCAAAAATTGTTGAGCTTTTTAAAGGAAAACCCAGATGTTGTTGAGCTTTTTTTTTCTTTTTCTTTTTTACAAAAACACCAAAAATAAAATAAAAATTTTGATTAACTTGCCTAAGATCCAGGACAAAGCACCATATTTCAGAAATTCTCCCCGGACATCATTTCTGCCTTTGAAATCCTGGTAATGTTTGGGAAAATCTGAACGCATGGCAGCCCTGTCTTAAGGAAAAGATAGAAATAAATCCCAGGGAACAAGTGACTACCTCAATGAAAATGTATTCGTAATGAGGAATACCCAGTAGTGAAATCCTATTTAAGGACATTCGATCAGGATGATGTATGGATGCATCATGTGGAAAACAGGTGGCATATGGTGCGTGGTTCATTCATGTAACTCAGTTCAGTTGCCCTTGTTCATTTATTCTCCCTCCCTGTTGAGCCTGGATTGGAGCATAAATAGATGGAATCCTACCATATCCTTCAGCAACAATGAACATATAACTGATGGGAACATCTGGAAGCTAATAGCAGATTGCCAGGATGGTGGAATGTACCATTTCATACTGCATCTTGTCTCTAGCCTTACTCATCCTTATGTGAATCAGTTACTGAGCAAAAAGGGGGAAAGAGTTTCTGGTGTTATATTTCTTCTCTCTTCAATGTGATGAAAGATTAAGATGTCTCCAAGGGAACCCTGACATGTGACTTTATCAGACAAAAAGGAGATTTAGCCTGGGAGAGTATAAAAAAATCAAAAGTTTTCTGATCAAAAAAATTCTAACCAGCTCTATTCCCGCTGATGTTTTGTGATTCAGAAAACAGTCAGAGTAGCTTTGCTTTCTAATTCCCTATGGGGCTGTAAAATGGTGATGGACTTAGCAAATACCTGTGAAGGTATCCTTCCTGGCGATGTACACATCAAATTGTGCATCAATGTGAAAAGGTTGAGATGTGAAGTCTTGGAAATTGTGCAACACACAGCCCGCTGAAGTTACATTGTACACTTTTTATACTAAGAACTTGTTTATTTTTACAGGCTTTCCAAGAAGGATGAGTTTACACACAGGCAGAATTTGATGTGTTTTAGTCCTCTATGGCATTCTGTGATGCTTTATTTGGAATACTTATATTCAAGATAAATAAAGTCTGGCTACCATATGGCAACAGACCTAAGTGTAACTAACTAGCAACTAACACATGAGTTTTAGGTAGCATGCATTTGTGGTCGATCAGTTCACGGCAGTATACATTCACTTCACAACAAACCTGTAAGGTAGGGCAGGCTGTGAGAGTGGACAACTTGCTTCAAGTCATTCCTGTGAGTTTCACAGCTGTGTAGGGATATGAAGGGGGTCTTGCTTGTCCAAATCTTGCACTCTGTCCATTGTTGTTGTTGTTGTTTAGTCGTTTAGTCATGTCTGACTCTTCGTGACCCCCTGGACCAGAGCATGCCAG